CCCAAATATGTCAGATAAATGGGCGGGACAAAAAGACCTGGAAAGTCCCTTCCTGCATTGACATTCTAGGATCTGCTTGCATCCTGGCTCCTGCCTCCTTAACTCTGTTCTTGACCTTGGGGAAGCAGCTGTAAAAGCCCCAGACAGGATCCCTGCTTGCACCAGCTTCCAGGTGGAGGGACACAGAACACACCAAGAGGCACATTGAGAGAAATCCTTCCATGGGGTGACTAGAGCGGTTGGGAGATACAACCAGGTGGTGTGTGCTATTGTGATTGAGGGGGGAGTATTAAGTGTGGTAATTAAGGTAAGTAATTCCTTTCTCTGAGGAAGCTGCACTGGAGCTGAGACCTGGATGCCAAACACAAAATATTCTTGAAGAAGCTTCAGGGAATGGTGTTATATACCAAGTCAGGGTGAGAGCAAGGGCACATCTTAGAGGAAGGGAGGGTGGCTAAAAAAATGTGTTGGTCATACATGGTCATGTAGTCCATGGAAAAGTCTTTGGATTTAATTTCTTTCTCTTTCTTTTTTTTTTTTTAAGAGAGAGAGAATTTTAAAATATTTATTTTTAGTTTTTTGGTGGACACAACACCTTTATTTTATTTGTATGTGGTACTGAGGATAGAACCCAGCACCCCACGCATGCCAGGGGAGCGCATTACTGCTTGAGCCACATCCCCAGCCCCTTTGGATTTAATTTTAACGACAACACTCTTTTAAGCTCTGGTGAATTTTAAGCAGGGGAGTGACCTAATTTAGGCTTTTTTCCCCCCTCTGTGTTCTAGGGGAGTGGGGCCCCAGGAGTTGCTCTCTGCCTTCCAGGGCATGGGGTTGAGCAAGGTAGAGGGTGTCCCAGCAGTGACGACTTGGCTTCCAGTGTGGGTGGGTGACATGAACTACCCCTGCGAGTGTGCGTCTGTACCAGGGGCCTCTCATACTCTCTGGGTCCCACCCCTGCTCCAGGAGAACCAGTTCTTCAGCGAGTGCTTACCCAGAGTTATGTGTCCACGTTTGGGTCACAACTGGGGAGTGCCCCAATCACATCCGTATACCTAATCCTTAATCCTATCCACATCCTCAGCCCTAGCCCTGGCCCCACCCATATCCCCACCAGACCCAGGGAGAGGGATGGACTAAGAGAAGACCTATTGCTAGTGGGTCATGATTTAGGAAGATGGTTTTCCCCATCCTCTTGTGCACCTAGGTCCTCTTTTCTGTGTCCTTAGAGCCCTCTCCTTCCCAGTCCTCTGGGCTGCCTATGTGACCTGCTTCCTCCCTACCCCCCCATGCTGAGTCATCTTACCAATGGGTAGAAAGGTTAAGGGTGGGTCTATCCTTCCAAATGCCCCTGGACCCTGCATCCCAGAGGGGCCCGGCAGTACTGTTCCCCAAGTCCCTGAGCTCTAATTTTCCTTCTTCAACACTCTGCTCTTCACTATACTTTAGCAGCCCCCTGGAGGCACAGTCTCCAGGATAAGGGAGAATTTGCATGTGATTTGTCTCTTGATGTGAAAATTTGCATAATCAGTTTCCCAGCATCCCCCAAGAGTCATCAGGGTGACTGAGTAAAGCCCAGGAGGGCAGGCCTGACCAGCCTGGCAGCTCCTGACCTCAACCCAGGACTGCATTGTGCCAGGGGAATGGGAAAGCCTGCCAGCCAGCCAGAACTTAGGCATAACCCTCATCTTCATGTTTCTCCCTTCCCTCCCTCCATCCCCTTGGCTCACATCACTTCCAGTACAATCACCCTTAGCCCAATCCAGCTTTCGTCTCTGAATCTTCACCCTAATTCTGAACCCATCCATGATTCAGTCCCTAACCCTGATCTTGTTCATATCACTACTCCCCAGCTCCCACCGCCCCCAACCATTAAGAATCATGTTTCAAGAGCTGAATGTGGTGGCACATGCTTGTAATCTCAGCAATTTGGGAGGCTGAGTCAAAAGCATCATAAGTTCAAGGCCAGCCTCAGCCACTTAGGGAGACTGTATCTCAACATTAGAAAGAAAGGAAGGAAGAAAAGAAGGACTGGGGATGTAGTTCAGTGGTAAAGTGCCCCTGGGTTCAATTCCCAGCACCAAAAAAGAAAAAAGGAAAAAAAAAAAAAGAAAAGAATTATGTTTCAAGAATCTCCAAAGGGGCTGTGGTTGTAGCTCAGTGGCAGAGCGCTTGCCTGGTGTATGTGAGGCACTGGGTTAGATCTTCAGCACCCCATTAAAAAATAAATAAATAAAATAAAGTTATCGTATCCATCTACAATGAAAAAAAAAGAGTCTCCAAGGTACAGGTACTATTCCATGAGATGGGAAAAAACAAACAAACAAACAAACAAAAAAAACCCAGATCAGATTTGGACAGTCTCATCTAGTAGATAAAACAGACATCAATCAAAGATATTGGGTATAGAGCTATGAGAGCCACTAATAGTTAAATTTGGCCTTCCTTGGAAAAGTAATGATTAAGCTAAGATCAGAAAGAAGAGGCTTTAATTGAGTCCAAGAAGTAGTAGGGAAAAGCACGTGCAAAGCCCCAAATGTAGGAGGAAGCACTTCCTTTGTCTTTATTTAAAAATTTCATTCCCAAAGAGCTCTTCCTGGCCACTCTATATCTAAAATTGCTCCCCGACACACACACACACACACACACACACACTTCTTTTTTATATTTTTGTGGCACTAGGGATCAAACCCAAGCACCTTGGCATGCTAGGCAAACACTCTACCACTGAGTTACACCCTTGTACTTACATAATTGTTCTCTGCTTTGTTCTTCTCTTTGGCCCTTGTCACCATTTAACATACTATTTAATTTATTTGACTATTAAGTACTATTGTCTATTTCCCTCACTAGTATACAAACTCCAGGAGTTCAGGGGCTTGTTTTAGTTTTGTTGTATTCTCTGGGTCTGGCACGTGCTGTGTACACCGTAGGGGCTCAGTTAGCATCTGCTGACAAATGAATGAAAGGCACATCGTATTATCCCAAAGGCAAGAAGAGTCACAGCTAGGTTTGATCTGGCTTGGGGCAGGGTAGGGATGACATGTGCATTTTGGGGTCTTGAGAAGACTGTTTCAATACTTAACTCCAACCACATCCCTATTCCTAAATGAAACCTGAATTGCAGTCTCATCCCTATTCTTCTTTCAACCCCCAAACCTACAGGAAACTTCTCTCCATCTTGGAATCCCAACCCTCTTCAGCCCTAACTCAGCCTGGGAACTGCATGACCTTCCCTTGATGGTGACAGGTGGGTGCCACTGGGGAGGAAACCAGGGCTGGTGTTTCCTGGTTAGCAGGAGCTGCTGGGAGGTGGAAGGAAAGAGGGCAGGTCCGGAAAAAGGGGACAGGAACGTGACTCTCTCCTCACTCTCCCTGGATCCCAAATATTATCTGCCGAGAGTAGAACTTGGACCCTCTCAGCTGCTCCCACCATAGTCCTGATGACTCCTCCCTATCTCAGGGGCTGACCCCATCCCATCCATTATAACTCTGGCTGCTGGGGTTCTATCAGAAACCAGTCCCATGAGGGTCCCAACCCTGGGGTTTATTTTCTTCAGAACACTTAATATTCAGAATTAGAGCGAAGCTCCATGCATCTTTCATTTCTTCTTTATTTTTGCAATTCTGAGGACTGAGCCCAGGGCCTTGTTCATGGTAGTCACGTGCTTTGTCCCTGAGCTACCTCCCCACCCTTGCTTTTTAAAACAAAAGCATTTTGAGACAGGGTCTCACTACATTGCTCAGGCTATCCTCGAACTTTCTGTCCTCTGCCTGAGCCTCCTGAGAAGCTGGGATGCCAAGCATGCACCTCAATGCCTGGTTACTTACTTTCTTCTTTGTATCTGCAGTACCTACAACATGGTGTTAATCCTGCTCAATATACATCTGTGGAAGGAAGGAAGGAGGGGTCTGGTTCTTGACAAACACAATTCCCTTGGAGACTATCCCTCATTCGGGCTTCCCATTCCTAGCTTTGTTCTTTGATTTTTTTTTTCTGGTAAGGGTGTAGCCTTTATAAAATCAAAAGATAACACAGATATAGTAAAAATGCATTGAGTGCCCTATATATCATCCAGATGGAGAGAGAGAACACGTCCAGCTGCCTACGTGTTCCCCATTCCAGAGATACTCATTAATCTGACTTGTGTAAGATGTGTTTAGTTTTACCTCTTCTGGAACTTGGTGTTGAGGGAATACCTGGCTGCTTTCTTTCCAGACGATCTTTGTGGGATCCATCCACAATGTAGCCTAATTCTGTTTTTGCTTTGTTTGGAGGTGGGATTTCATTGTATTGTCCAGGCTGGCCTTGAACTTGCGATCCTCCTGCCTCAGTCTCCTAGGGCACTGGGGTTGCAAGAGCTTTAGTTTAATTCTTTTTTTCTTTCTTTTCTTTTCTTTCTTTCTTTCTTTCTTGTCTGGGGATCGAATTTTGGGGCTCATGCTGGCCAGGCAAAGGCTATATTATTGAGCTCCACCCCAGCCCTTTAGATTTATTCCTGTGTCCTAAATTTCAATTGGATTGTCTTCTAATTGTATATTCAACCCCAGTCCCTCCTCAGCTCATCCTGAACTCAAAGGAAGCAACACATACCCCCTCTCTGACCTGCCATCTTTTCTTCCTGTAACATCTCTAGAGCTGTTCTGCATCTATGTGGTCCCTGGGCCTGGGCTTTAACACCAACTTGTCATGAACTATGGGCCCTAGGGTTGAATGATGGACTCATTTTCCACAGCAGATCATCTGAATGTCAAGTTTGTTCCACTCTCCCTCCCCTCCAATACAGGTCACCTCTACCCAAGGTGCTGCTCAGCAGGGGTACCTTGCAGCCAATGGGGGCAAGCAGGAGGAAGGAGCTCATTAATCTGATAAAGATCTGGGGGCCCCGCCCCACCCCCTCCCCCAACTTCCCTGGGGCCCTGGCTCAGGCTGGACTGGCTCCCACACCCTGAAGGCTCCTTGAGCCTCCTTCCATCCGCCCTTTCAGAGGCAGGCCCAGAGCCCTACCTGCAGTTCCTCCCCGCCAGCACCCACAAGGGCAGGCCCAGAGCCCTACCTGCAGTTCCTCCCCGCCAGCACCCACTGGGCTAGAGCCCAGACGCCTGCTCACTGCTACCAGCTGGCTCCACCTGGAGCAGCTCACATCCCAGCCAGCCAAGGGCAGCTCCCGTGAGCCAGTGGTTCCTGCTGTCTAGCCACTCTGCTACAGAGGCTGGCCTTGTCCACTCCTCTCTGTGCCTGGGACCTCCACACAGTGTCCAGGATTGAGTCCCCTCTTGACTCCTGAGGAACATCCATGGCCACCTACAGGGTGAAGGTGGCCACAGGCACTGACTTCTTGTCGGGAACCCTGGACTCCATCTCGCTGACCATCGTGGGGACCCAAGGAGAGAGCCATAAGCAGCTGCTGAACCACTTTGGGAGAGACTTTGCCACTGGGGCGGTGAGTGCTTATGGCCCAGGAGGGATGGAGGAGTGCCGGAAGAGAGCCAGGGACACAGCTTGACCAGGAGAGGCTGCAGAATCGAGGCTCAGCTCTGAAGGCTGTGGGTTCCTAGGTGGCTCTGGATGCCTCACCCACACGTCTCCTGACCCTTCCCACCTTGCTGGTCTCTGGGCTGTATCTCCTCTGCTCCCTCATCTCTTATCTCTCTCAACCAATTTCCAATCCTCTCACCTCATCTCTCTTCCTCTCTCTTCTGTCAACTCTCTCCCACCCCATCTCTTCCCATGGCCTCTCTTCCCCTCCCCATCCCTCTCCCCTTCTAACTCACTCTTCCTAAACCAAGTTACATCATAACTAGCTTAAATTTGCATTGGATTCTCTGTGACTTAAAATGGCATCAGACCAGCCTGTCCAGTGGGGACCTGCTTGCCCCATGATGGAAGTCACTCTTTGTGGGCTCTCACACCTGATTTTGAGTCAGGCCCAGCCAAAGGCTACTGTGTGATCTGATTGGTCCCTCTATCTTTGGGGTGATTTCTGAATTCCCACATCTTCATGGAGAAGTATGAGAAGGGCTGGCTGGACCATCTATCTCTCTCCAATCTAGGACTGTAAGAGGCTTAGGAAGTCCCAGTCCCTCTTGGACTGCTTTGTACACCAGCTCCTGGGGGGTCTGTGTGGTCCCTGAAGCTTCAGATGACTAGGAAAGGGGATGGGAGAGGAGGACAGGACCTTGGGAACTGGGGAGGGAGGGATGAAAAGGCCTAGCCCAGGGTAAATGGACCCAGCAGAGAATAGTCAAGTTGGAGGAGTCAGAGGGGAGCCCAAAGATTGGGTCCATGTCCCATCTCTCTGCCACCACAGTCCAGAAAGTGAACATCACCCAGCATGAGCAGAGCTTGGTTTAGGGACCAATTCAATGGGAGGCTGGAGGAACCAGAGTCCAGTCCAGTATGCTCAGTGAGACCTGTGTCCTGCCCAGGTGGATGAGTACACTGTCCAGTGCCAACAGGACCTCGGGGAGCTCATCATCATCCGTCTGCACAAAGAACGCTACTCCTTCTTCCCCAAGGACCCCTGGTACTGCAACTACGTGCAGATCTGTGCCCCCAATGGCCGTGTCTACCACTTCCCTGCCTACCAGTGGATGGATGGCTATGAGACCCTGGCACTTAGGGAGGCCACAGGTGAGCCCACATCATCTCACCCCTTGCCGTGAGGGCCCTCACTTCAGCCTGACCACCCCAGCATGATCACCCTGGGCTCCCATCAAGCTAATCAGGCAGCAGGGACTCCTGAGATCTCCTATTACTGTCATAAATTACCACTGCTGCTCTAGGCTCAGCTTGGGACTGCATTGTTGCAGAACGAAGAATAGTGGGGTCCAGGGGTCACCCTCAGCATCCCAGAGTCAGGCAGCAGAGAGCATTTCCAAATCATGCTTCCTCTCACTGCTCCCAGCCTCACTTTGAATCCTGCAGGGTGCCCAGCCATCCTGAAATGACCCCTTTCTACTCTGTGCCCAGGCTGCTCAGCACTCTTGTAGGATGTCCTGTCTATTATGCCAGAGAGTAAGTCCTGCAACCCCCAAAAGCCTGATTCTCCAGTAGGATTCTGTTACGACAACAAGATGCCCTGTTACTCTGATAAGTAACCCCAATATTCCAGCTGTAGCCTTCTTGCTCCATTCAGAAGCCCTGTTACTTCAACAGCTCCCCAGGGCACCAGGGCCTTGTATATGATCTTGAATATATATATATGATTTCTCCCAACTGCTGGGGATGAAACCCAGGGCCTTACAAATACTAGGTGAATGCTCTACCACTGAGCTACATCCCCAGCCCTATGAACATTTTTTAGACTGAGGGCTATTCTGTTGCCCTAGAGGATACTTTATTTCTCTAACAGGAGTCATTGTTACTCCAAAATCCGCCACTAAGGGCCCATCCACCCCTATAGGAGGTTCCACGAGGGCAGTGTGGAATTTTCCACTTGTATTATGTTGGCACTTAAAAAGTTTCAGATTTTGGTGCAAACTGTCAGCTTCTCCTGGCAGTGGGTCAACGCTGCCTTGCTGTTTGCTGAGCTGTGTGGTTGCTCCCATGGGACAGGGACAGGATCTGAGTGCCTGAGCTCCATGCATCAACCCTTGCCAGAACCCTCCATCTGACTGGGTCAGCTGCCTATATGTGGCTGCGACATAGAGACTGGAGGTCTATCCTCTGTAATCCCTTTGGCTCTACCCCAAGCCTCTGCTGGCCTCCCTTGAGAAATGTGGAAGGGAGAACAGCTTTGAGGACACCAGGGGAGTCCCATCCTCCTCTTCTTTTTCATATTTCTGTGCTGGAGTCTTTTCCCAGGGTGGGAGGGAACAGGGCCTAAGCTGGGGAAAGGAGAGGCAGGGGCTAAGGGAGGCCTGGGGAAGGGTGGGGCTGCCAAAGGAAGAGTCTCAGCAGAGATGCAGAAGTGCCTTCCCACGGTGATAGGTCTGTGTGGCATGGAAGCAGGGGACGGGCAGGGTGACACTTGGTGGCTGTGCAAGAATGGGGTTGGGTAGGGTGGCTGCCATGCAACACCAGGGCAGGGAGACTTGAGTCACCTGTTCGGCCCTCGAAGGAGTGAGGCTCCCTCCCTGGGACAAAGCCAAGTTGGGGTTCTGGGTTTTACCACCCCAGGGGGCGACATCCACCCAGAATGTGGCATATGAGCTGAGGCAGATGGAGGATGGACAGGGTGGCAAAGTGAGGACCTTGAGGGGAAATGATAGGGATGTGCACAAACTAGCATGGGGACAAGCAGTCAGGATGCTGGAGAAAGACAGGCTTGGATTCGGATGTCCATCTCAGTGCCACCATTTACTCTCAGGACATTTGGGCACATTTTCACATTCTTCTAAGCTTTGGGACCCTCATCTGTAAAATGGAGCTAACCATAGGGTTGATGTGAAAATCCAATGACATAAAGGAGTATCAGGAACAACTGTTGTGGGTGCTACTGGGGGGAGAGGGGGAGGTCAGAACAGTCTACTTTGCACCAAATCCCAGCTTGACTGCTTTTTTCTTGCACAATATTTACTCTTTTATCCTTGTAAAATGGGAACAACAATATAGTCCTTTTGTTGAAACTGTTGAGGCCAGAGGCGTTTTGAAATTTGGGTTTTCTTTCGAGGCTGCACACGTGAATATGTTCATATGTGTGTATATAATAGATACATACAAAATGTGTATAAATATACACATATGCATATTTATCTCATCCATTCATCTACATGCAGGTTGAGTATCCCTTATCTGAAATGCTTGGGACCTAAAGTGTTTCAGATTTCAGACTTTTTAAAAAATTTGGAACATTTGAGATATTTTGAGGAAAGGACCAAAGTTTAAACATCTAATTCATTGTGTGTGTGTGTGTGTGTGTGTGTGTGTATACACACACACACACTTTATACACAAGGACTGAAGATAATTTTATACAATATTTTTAGTGCTTCAGCATTTTGACTGTGACCCACCACAAGAGGGCAGTGTGGAACTTTCCACTTGTCTCATGTTGGTACTTAAAAAGTTTCAGATTTTTGGAGCATTTCAGATTTTGGATTTTTGGATTAGGGATACTCAGCCTGTCATGTATACAGATGTACCACATATCCACCTCTGGGTATTCCCCATTCAACACACTAATATCTCTCATCGAAAACTGAAAAATGAAACCAAGCGAGTTAAATACTGTATCTAGCCTCAGGGAAATTTGGAGCGCGCTTGGCTCACCAATGAATTCGTTATGAAACAAACTTGGATTTCCACAGCCTTTTGTATTTTGGAATTGCAGGAGAGGGCTGGGGACCTATAATAATTAGTGACTCGCCTTATAAAGTTGTTCTTGTCTGGCTTGAGTCATTAATACAAGGGCAGTTTTTAGGAAGTGCCTGATACCTAGTGAGTCTTCCACAACTGTCAGTTATTAATATAGTTCACTAGTGTCTAGAAGAGGCACTTTCCCCAGCAGCAGAGCCCAGCTTGAGGATAGAGTAGGGATGGGGTCCACTATTATTGTCTTCCAGAGTGGGCCTTCCCCATCCTTAGCCACACACCCCTTAGCTTACCCTGGGGGCTACAAGCCAAACTCCTGCTCTCTGAAGTGGGCAGGGGCAGGCAGAAAAGGGGGTCAGTGCTTGAGCGTCCTCCTTGGTTTCCCTACAGGAAAGACAATGGCGGATGACTCACTCCCCATCCTTCTGGAACACAGACAAGAAGAGATCAGAGCCAAGCAGGACTTCTACCAGTGAGGGGGAGGGTGGCAGGGTCTGGGGGAACCTGCAGGGGTCATAGGAAGTCAGGGGCCAGTGTGGTCTCTGGCCCCCTGTGCCCTAGGATGGTACCTAGACATCAGGGCTCACCATCTTGGCTTGTTCTTGCAGTTGGAGAGTCTTTGTACCTGGGCTGCCCAACTACGTGCACATTCCCAGTTACCACCCTCCTGTCCGGAGGTTCCGCAACCCCAACCGGCCTGAGTAAGGACCCAAGGCTCTGCTGGACCCCTCCCATGGCTGCCCTCTGAGCCTCTGCCCGCTGAGCCCCAGGTGCCAAGCCCCAACCCATGCTTCTCCCTGCAGGTGGAATGGTTACATTCCAGGATTCCCGATTCTCATCAACATCAAGGCCACCAAGTTCCTGAACTCAAACCTCCGTTTCTCTTTCGTCAAGACTGCCTCCTTCTTCTTCCGCCTGGGGCCCATGTGAGTGGCTGTAGTGAGGGGAGAGTGAAGGCTCTGGGGACTGTCCCTCCCTGCTGTTCCATGTCCACCTCCAGGACAGTCCCAGAGTTGGAATGGCCAAGGAGGCAATGGGAGGCAGATAGAGTGTAGAAGACCTGAGACTTGACACGCAGAGACCTAGACGCACAAAGACTTTGGGACTTTGAGACTAAGAGACCCTGGGACCCAAAGACCTCAGTGGGTAGGCAGCTCTGCCACCTGTCCCAGCATACCTGGCAGCCTCTCTGACCACCTTCCTCTGGCATCCCACCTCCTAGGTCACTGGCATTCAAACTCCGGGGCCTGGTAGACTCAAAACGTTCATGGAAGAGACTAAAGGACATTAAGAAAATTTTCCCTGCCAACAAGACTGTCATCTCTGGTATGGGGTGGAGCATCCCAAATCAAACAAGGGGCACCCAGGTGGTCTCTGGGTGTAAGAAGCAGGCCCCTCATGTGGGGTCAGTGGGCTTAGTGGCCAAGAGAGCAATCCAGAGTCAGGTGTGTACACCCTCCTGGGGCTTCTCAAGGCGTTATCGTGCGTCCCTTCAGCTACTCAAGACAAAGATGAGGGCTTAGTTTTCCTCCCTGAGTCCTCTTGGTGTCCATGGTCTTTTTCTGTCCCATGCCTCTATGTCCCTGGGTGGGGCTGGATCACATTGTGATGCACCTGCACCATCCCCCTAGAGTATGTGGCTGAGCACTGGGCAGAGGACACCTTCTTTGGGTACCAGTACCTCAATGGCATCAACCCAGGACTCATATGCCGATGTACAAGGATCCCAGACAAGTTCCCTGTCACAGATGACATGGTGGCCCCGTTCCTGGATGAGGGAACATGCCTGCAAGCAGAGCTGGAGGTGAGGCCCTCTCTGGCAGAGGTCTTAGCTGGTCTCCCGGCCTCCTTCTTAAACATCCACGTGTCTCCTGAGACCCACCTGAGTCCCACCCATGCCCACGTGCCCCACTTCCCCAGCCCTGTCCAACCACCGAACCCTGAGGCCAGTGCACTCCGCACACAAGGCATAGGTCATGTGCCCCGTGTTGGTGCCGGCCTGCCTTCCCACTGTGGCTCCCCTGCAGAAGGGGAACATTTACCTGGCAGACTACCGCATCCTGGAGGGCATCCCCACCGTGGAGCTCAACGGCCAGAAGCAGCACCATTGTGCCCCACTCTGCCTGCTGTACTTCAACCCCCAGGGCAACATGATGCCCATCGCCATCCAGGTGTGTGGGGTGCAGTGGGGGCTGCTGTGTGGGCGTGATGCCAGGGCAGAGCCCCTCTGAGCCCATGAACGTTCCTCTGTGTGTGTGCACACACCTATGTGAGCATGTGAGCCTGTGTGTACGCTCTATGTCCTGTGCATGTGTGTCTGTGCGGAAGCTGTGTGTCCACAGGAGTGTATACCCCTCTGGTTGCATCTGAGTCCACCTATGCTAATGCATGTCCCACTCTGTATGTGTGGCCGTGGAGAGACTTGGGGGTGACCTTGGGTGTGGCCCTGTGTGTAAGCCTGGTGTGAGAACATGCATGTCCCTATGTGGGCACATCCGTGCATTATCATTGTGTCTGTACACCCATGCGTTGAACTTGGGTCCCTGTGGTGAGCTTATGGTCACGTGTACATGGTGACCAGAGGGGGCGCTTGGTGGCTTAAGCTTGTCTCCTTGACTTCATTCATCCATTTACTTGAAAAAAAATGACCTCTACTGTAGGCCAGGCCTCTGCTGGGAGTACTGAGCTAATTAGACTTAGCTGCTGTCTGGCAGGAGAGGAAATTGAAGTATTCCCTTATCAGAGGTCCCCACAAGCATTGTGATACCCCTCTGGGGCTATCAGCCATGTCCTAATGCTTCTGGTTTATTACTGGAGCAGTGTAGGCTGGATTTCAATGACAGTCCCCCATCACCTGAGGGCTAGGCACCCTTGCCCTTGTACAGTGCACAGCTTGCACAACTGAATGTGGCAGCCTTGGGGATGAGGGAAGGATGGCTTCTTAGAAGCTGCATCTCAAAGAATGAGTGGGAGCTGCCAGGTGGAGACAGAGACTGGGCGAAAGTGCAGGCAGAGAGCACAGCAAAAGCAAAGATGGGGAGGAAGGTCATGGTGTGCGCAGGGGACCAAAGGGAACTGCAGTACAGTGGGTGTGGTTTTTACCTCCTCGAATTTCCTTCTGCCTCTTTCCTGGAGCGGCAGCTTTTGTGTGTGAGGGTCTCTATGCTCACCTAACCCTCCTTCTTTCCCTGCCCCCAGCTGAGCCAGACCCCTGGACCTGATTGCCCCATCTTCCTGCCCAGCGATTCTGAGTGGGACTGGCTGCTGGCCAAGACATGGGTGCGCTACGCTGAGTTCTACAGTCACGAGGCCATCTCCCACCTGCTGGAGACCCACCTCATCGCTGAGGCCTTCTGCCTGGCCCTGTTGAGGCAATTGCCCATGTGCCACCCCCTATACAAGGTGTGGGCTTAGGGGAAGGGACCCCATCTCACTGCCTTGTAAGCCCTGGGAGGATCTGGGGACTCACCCCAGAGAGGACTTAGGGAGGGGACTTTCCAAAGTCAGGGGTCAGTCTGATGTTGCAGAAATGGGGATGCTGAGGTCCTCTGGGGGCATCCTCAGCCCTGTCTTGCCCTCCTTGCTTTCCCGCCTAGCTCCTCATTCCCCACACCCGCTTCACGGTCCAGATCAACAGCATCGGGCGGGCCCTCCTCCTCAACGAGGGGGGCCTCTCTGCCAGGGTAAGACTTCTGCCCCCAGCCCCAACAAGAAACTTGCTTTCTTTGGGTCTTTGCAGTTAGACTAAAAGCAGGACTCCCCACTTGCTTTTGGATCTGGGGGCGGCGGGCAGAGAGGGGACTGGTTAAAGTGGGCGCTGTGACTAGAATGGTGCAGAGGCAGAGGGCCTGCCATGGTGTGGTCCTCAGGGAGCAGGGCCTGCAGGGATGCCATCCAGCTCTGGGATCTCCCCACTCCCCCACAGGCCATGTCCCTGGGCCTAGAGGGCTTTGCTGAGGTGATGGTGCGGGCTCTGTCTGAGCTCACCTACGACAGCCTCTATGTCCCCAATGACTTTGTGGAGCGTGGTGTCCAGGACCTGCCTGGGTATTATTTCCGTGATGACAGCTTGGCAGTATGGGACGCAATGGAGAGGTGAGGTGGGGACAGCAGTGATGGCACTTAGGGTGGAGATCCTGGGCTGCGGGAGGGGGTGTGGGAGCTTTTAAGAACCCGAACTTGGACCTCCTACGGGAGCTTGGCCTTGCAGATGGGGTCTGGGCTCTCTGTCCATCACACACCTGCTCCTTAGGCCCACAGGGCCTCTTCCTTGTTTTGGACTCCAGCCCTCCTTTGCGGGTCAGCCCCCTTCTGGGCTCTGAGCTGCCTGGGGGCCTCGTTGATCTATTATTGGGGATCCCGTGAGTGTCTTCTGACCTTGCCAAGCCACCTTCTCTACCTCCTTCCTGAAGGACTTGCCTCCCTGTAGATCTGAGCCAGCTAAGGCCAGAATGACCTGAGGGAGGTGGGAAGCATGGTTATGGAAGGAGAGGGGAGGGAGAGATGAGGTTCTAAACTGAGGCCCTGTCCCCTTGATCAGGTATGTGACAGAGATCATCACCTATTATTACCCGAATGACGCAGCCGTGGAGGGTGACCCGGAATTGCAGTCCTGGGTGCAGGAGATATTCAAGGAGTGCCTCCTAGGGCGTGAGAGCTCAGGTACGGGCCTGAGAGCCCAGTGGGGACTGGGGCCAAGGTGTGGTTCCCAGGAAGCTCCACTAGGGCCCTCCTGCTTCTGGGCCAGACAGATCTCCTTGTGGGCCGAAGGATACCAAAGGGCTATCTAGGATTTTCACAGGGACCTGCCCTGGACCCTGGAGCAGTGGCATCTCGGGGATGACCTTTGGCATTTGGCGCCTGTCTGAACTCAGGTGCTAAGTCATCTCTGCAGAGACCGAAAGGGGTCTCTGTGGACTGAGAAATGGGGCGTGAGTTCTAACAGGAAAAAGTATGCTGGGGGCTGAGGAGGTAAAGGGAGAATCAGCAAACTCCAGGAAATGGGTGGGGGGTGTCCTGAGGTCATGCTACTTGGGCACACACTCAGCAAATATTTAGGGAGCATCAATAGTGTAATGCTGGGCTGGGGATGAAAGGGAAAAAGACAGAGGCAGGTGCCCACCCTCAAGGTGTTTGATGCCTGGGGCTGGGGGTATTTAACTTGGTGAATGAGCAGTGTGTTATAGCAGAATTGGGGCAGTTTGGGGAAAGCTGAGGAGGAGCTAGAGATGGCCAGGGGAGGTTTCTAAACCAGCTTGGGTTGGGCTGGCAGAGACAGGGAGTGGGGAACAGTAAGCTAAGATCTAGCTGAGATCAGATTCTTGGTTAACACCTAACTAAGATCTGCCAGATGAGGTTAGCTATGAGATGACTGACAGGGGCTTGTGGCCGGTGGTGGAGATGGAGTTGCTGATGGGGAGCTGCATGTGGAAAGGTCCCCAAACTAGAGGCAGCATAGTGAATTCTGGGAGCTGCTTACTGGGATCCAGTTCCCTGCAACTAGAGCTGAGGGTGGAGGTGCTCAGGCTCCTGATGGGTTAAGGCTGAAGCCAGGAGTAGGGCCAGGCTGCCAGGCAGATAAGGAGTTTGGAATTACCCTTTGGAACCAAAGGGGCACATCAAGGGGTTTTACAAGGAGATCAGATGTTATGTTAAAATATCAGGCTGCAGTGCTGGTCAGGAGAGTTTAGGAAGCTGGTATGGTGTCTAGGAGGGAGGTGGTGGGGACTTGACTAAAATGAGGGTTGTGGGGACACAGAGAATTCCAAAGCTAGCTGAGAGCTAGAAATAACAAGACTTGGTGATTGGTTTGGGTTTGGGGGTTAGGTAGGGTGAGAAGTGGAGGGGTGACTCCCAGGTTTAGGGCTTTTCCAGTTGGTTGGATGATATGTGTCATCCTTTGAGCTGAGGGCCTTGAAGGGGGCCTTTGGGAAGAAAATACTGAGTCTGTTTTGAATGCGTGGGTCTTTTGTTATAGGGTAGCTATAGCAACCAGGGCTGGCTGCTCACCTGGTATGATCAGAAAGAAGCCAGCAGCTTAGTTGGGAACAGGTGTGAGGGAGAGAGCCAGGCTACTGAGAAATTTATCTGGAGTGAGAAAAAGTCTCAAAGGAGGTGGGGAGAGTGTGTGTTGGGGTGTTGTGCTGAGTCAGGGTGGAAAAACCAGGATTCTTGCCAAAGGAGAGAAGCCTCTCCACTTCCTAGGGGAGCTGGAAGAGAGATCCAAGGGCCTCAATTTAGCTGTGAGCACAAGTAGCCAAGGCCAGTCAAGCCCCTCCCCCAGCCTTGTCACAAGGACTTCGGGGAAAGGAGTTGTGGAGCTTGGAGTGTTGCAGGGAGGAAGAGCAGGAAGAAAAGATTAACATTAAACAGAGACATGAGGTGGGAGGGAAAGGGAGAGAAAAGGGAAATTGCATGGAAATGGAGGGAGACCCTCATTGTTATACAAAATTACATATAAGAGGTTGTGAGGGGAATGGGAAAATAAACAAGGAGAGAAATGAATTACAGTAGATGGGGTAGAGGGAGAAGATGGGAGAGGAGGGGAGGGGGGATAGTAGAGGATAGGAAAGGTAGCAGAATACAACAGTTACTAATAGGGCATTATGTAAAAATGTGGATGTGTAACCGATGTGATTCTGCAATCTGTATTTGGGGTAAAAATGGGAGTTCATAACCCACTTGAATCTAATGTATGAACTATGATATATCAAGAGCTTTGTAATGTTTTGAACAACCAATAATAAAAAAAAAAAAAAAAGTGTGACCTGGGCTTGCAAGCGCCCTCTGCTGGACGCCCAGGACTGGGGCAGGACTGACACTGCTTGGTCCATCCACCCCTCAGGCTTCCCCACTTGCTTGCGAACGGTGCCTGAACTGATCCGATATGTCACCATCGTCATGTACACCTGCTCTGCTCGGCACGCAGCTGTCAACACGGGCCAGGTACCTGTGCTCACCAGCCCCAACCCTAGTCCCAGACCTCCTAAATTTAGCCCTAGCCCCAACCTCAAACCTCAGCCTTTATCTCTGGTCCAGACTCAATTTGTCTGAACCCCTGAATCAACTCCAGTCTCAGCTGAAATCCTTTCAACCCAACTCAAATCCACCTGGACTATACCCCCAACCCAGCCTCAATATCCATCGGCTCCAGCACCACCAGTCTAAACCAACCCAGCCCATTCTTAGTCCACTGGGGCAGGAATCAAAGATGGGAGAGAGGGATCAGAGCCTGGTGGGTGGGAACTGTTGGGGTGCTCTCTGAACCTCTGTACGTCACCTCCAGTTGGAGTACACAGCCTGGATGCCCAACTTCCCATCTTCCATGCGGAACCCGCCGATGCAGGCCAAGGGGCTGACCACGTTGGAGACCTACATGGACACGTTGCCGGATGTGAAGACCACTTGCATCGTGCTCTTGGTACTCTGGACCCTCAGTCGGGAACCTGATGACAAGGTGCGGCGTGGGGCTTGGGGACTCTGAGCATGGGCAGACTGGGGGGTTGGGGAGGGCAAGGATAATTGGAGCTGTCAAGGGGCTGGGAGTTTGCAGTGGGCAGAGGCTGAAAGGAAGGTGCTAGGCTGTGGGTTGGTTGCGGGGTGGGCCTGGCTTCATCCCAGCGCCGGGTTCTGTGTCCTCAGCGGCCCCTGGGCCACTTCCCAGACATTCACTTCGTGGAGGAGGTCCCGCGGCGGAGCATGGAGGCCTTCCGCCAGCGCCTGTCCCAGATCTCTCACAATATCCGACAGCGCAACAAGTGCCTCGCTGTCCCCTACTACTACTTGGACCCTGTGCTGATTGAGAACAGCATTTCTATCTAGGATGGCCCTCCCTGCTCCATATTCTTTGTTTTCCTATTTTCGAATAAAATTATTTCAAATGCTCCCTGGGTCTCTGAGTGCCAGGAGCTGTTTTCGGGGTGCTGGGGGCGCTGGGCTGGCGCTGCGGGGTGTGAGCGGAGATGCTCACACTGTGAAGCTGTTCATCACCACCACCAGCTCCAGGTAGGCCTAAGACAGCGCTAGGGCCCCATTGCACTCCCAGAGGCCTCTCGATATCAAAACCGAATGGCTCTGCTTCGGGCCTCCTTGGTGATGTGCTCCTCTGGGCTCAGAAGCCTCTGGGGACGCCGCAGGATGGGTGGTGGGGCAGGGGCAAGGCTAGGAACTAGATCCTCACGATGATTCTGGTCCATCTGAATTCCTCCTACCTGGGGACTTAGTCCCACCTAGGGGAACCAGATCACCCAAGACCCAACTTGAAACATAAACTACCCACTCAGATAGGGGAAAGCCATCACCCTATAAGAAACCTAGACCAAACCCGCTTTGCAACCCAGACCACTCTCTGAGCTCCACCTACTAGGAATCTGTACCACCCTATTCCACACCCCTCAGCCAAGGAGTCACTCCAAGCCCTGTCCACCTAAAAGATGCAGCCTGTTAAGTGCACCCTCCAAGAAACCCTTTCTCCCCAAGATCCTTCCTCACCTCACCCACTCTCCTGAGACTTGAGCCCCTTCTCTCTATATCTCTGACCTTGGCTTTATTGCTGATGCTCCAGAAGATCACCAGGGTGTGGCATGTGGCATTGACATCAGGGATTGAGGCTATCAAGTCTGTTTGGCCTTTGATGGTGGGTGGGGGAGCCACATAGGGCAGGAATATTGGGCATCTAGGAACTGATTTCAAATCAACGTACCCCTCCCAAATTCAGTTAGCTCAGAGCTGCCAGTTCTTCTGTTAGGCCCCCTCCTCCTGACCCTGTTTTCCCTGGGGTCTGGCACTGGCTCCCCTGGCCACTGTTGATGGTAGCATATTGGGCTAAACAGGTGAAATTGATTGTGGTGAGATACTACCTGGGGCAAGCACAGCTGTCCAGGGTGGCGGGACCCCTAGATGGGAGTGAGGTGGGGAGAATAGAGCTGAGACCTAAGGGGCTGATGCCCTGGGGAAGTGGGGCGTGGAGGGCAGGGAACAGGGATAGACTCCTCACCTGAGGTCATGTGGCTTAAAAAACCCTCGTGGAAGATGTCCCTGACTCGGGCCTGGAGTTCCAATCCCTGCTCTTTGCCCTATCATCATTCCAGTAGTAGATGTTAACAGTATTGGTCATAAAGCTGGAGATCCACGAATACTGGTCACTACCAGTTAGGGGTCAATGCTGCCCAGGGCTGTGGGTTGGAAGAGGCCACTGAAATCTTCCCCCAAAAGGAAGGTTTGGAAACCAAGGAAAGAAAATAGTCAACCATACAGAGTGAACTTCAGGGCTGAGTTTCAAACCTAGAGGCTGTGATCTTCTCCAGGGGTGAAGGCCTGAGGGCCTCATGTGGTCTATAAATGTGTTTTGGTTTTTTGTCTTAAAAAGGCATGCTAATAGGGGCTGGGGTTGTGGCTCAGTGGTAGAGCGCTTGCCTCACATGTGTGAGGCACTGGGTTCAATTCTCAGCACCACATATAAATAAATAAATAAAATAAAGGTCCATCAACAACTAAAAAAGTATTAAAAAAGAAAAAAGTGCATGCTACCAGAATCTGGTAAGCATGTGAGCTTAGGCAGTCCACTTTTCAATTTTTTTTTTTTTAGTTGTAGATGGACACAATACCTTTATTTTGTTTATTTTTATTTTTATGTGGTGCTGAGGATCAAACCCAGTGCCTCATACATGCTAGGCAAGTGCTCTACCGCGGAGCCACACAACTCCAGCCCTACATATGTGTTTTGATTGGCTGGCAAGTTCTGTTGTTTATTTTTGAAGTTAAATCACCAACACTTAAATATTAGAAGATGTCTGGTTTCTCTTGAAAAATCTGAAGATCTGGCAACAGTCATGCTGTTTTAGTCAGCTAATTTGTTGCTGTGACTAAAAGATCTGACCAGAACAATTGTAGAGGAGGAAAAGCGTATCTAAGGGCTCACAGTTTCAGAGGTCTTAGTCCATCAAAGGCTGGCTCCATTCCTTGGGGCTCCAGGTGAACTAAACATCATGGTAGGAGAGGGTGGTGGGAGGGAAGCAGCTCACATCATGGTGATCAAGAAGCAGAGAGAGAAAAACTCCGCCCTCCAGATACAAATATATACCCCAAAGCCATGCTCCCTAAGACCCAACTCCTCCAGCCACACCGACCTCTTCAGTTACCACTAAGTTAATCCCTATCAGGGGATTAATTTGCTAATTGGGTTAAAACTCTTACAACCCAATCATTTCTCCTCTGAACCTTCTTACATTGTCTCACACGTGAGCTTTTGGGGGACACCTCACATCCAAACCATAGCACATGTCTATGTGTCCTTTGTCCCCATCAGACACACATGAGTTCTTTCCACTGGCCCTAGTCTCAGTTATCTCACGGGCAGTGGAAATGGGGTTCACCTCGGTGGAATGGGCTGGCTGAGAAAGAAAAGCTAGGAAAAATAGATCAATGAAAAAAACCACGGGACTCATAAAGTAGTTTCAAAAGCAGGGGCAGGAAGGGCAAACTGATCAGACGGATGCAGCTTCTAGACTATGGCAAAATGGAGACCAGCACCTGCTTTATTTATATCAGGAAACATCAAAGGCCTTCCATACAATGTTCTTCACCAAAAAAGGTTAAAGTTGGGCTGTTCATTTCCCAGTGAGTTACACCCATTTCCAGAGCTCCTATGAAGTACCTTCCTAGCAGAGCAGAGATAAAGATCACATGCATTGTGTAATCTATTGCTGAGGGAGAGCCACAGCTAGTTTGCAATGCCAAACCTAAATCTCTCTGGCTTCCATACCTAGAGAAGATCCTCATGTAATTTTCGGATGGCTTCCCACAGTTGTCCCCTCCTCCCTAGCATTTTCTACTTGCCTGTCCTTCAGACACTGGAGTTCCTGCCTTTTGAGCTAGACCAAGCACAGCAAAGGGATTAGACACTAGGCTGGTGCATTGGTACAGTCTTAATTGGGTCCAATTCCTCCATTGTCCTGAAGGACCATCCATCCTTAGCCAGAGAAGGGTTCAGGAAGGGCATGCAGAGCCACTGCTAAGAAGGGTGTTGGCATAGGCAGCTCCTGCTGGGGGCATTCATACAGGTGCAGTCCTGGAGGACTTTAAAGGGGAGGTATGGTATGAGCTGAGCTCAGAGCATGAGTGGTGTTTGAACAGGGAGAAATTGGGGGTGCCTTGTCTCTCTCGACCTGGTGTGTGCTGCAGAGGAAGAATGGAAAGGGAAAGATGAGGCAAGAAACTGGGAGCCCTGTGAAGGTCATGAGCAGCAACTGCACTGTCATAGACCCCAGTGCTCCAGGGAGGTCATTATCAGGCAAGAGGTAGGGACCTGCCAGAGGCCAAATGTCAGGAGGGTCTGACCCGTAGAGTGGAGGCCAGGGCTATACCCCAAGGAGACTTCCTATGAGGAAGATTTAGAAGGAAAAATTGGAGACAAACTGATTATTTATAGGACAAACAATGGTACTAACAGCTAATGCTCTTCCTATTTGCTGAGGTTTGTTCTTAGGGTTTAACATTTAATCCTAATAAAGACCTGTGAGGTAGGTACTCTTATTACCCATATTGTTGGATGAAGAAATAGGCACAGAGAGGTTAAGAGACTGGCCCAAGATCTCACAACTAGAAAAAAGAAGTGAGGCAGGAAGGCTCGGGGAGTCAGCAGGGGTTCTGGCAGGAGGTGTGGGAAGGTGATGAACAAATCAACAGAGGAGTAGTGGAGGGCCAGAGGCGCAGGTCCCAGAGAGCTTCATCTGACTGTGGCTGCCAGATCTGGAGTGCATCTTCCAGGTAGTATGCCAGGTTTCTGTTCTCGAAACTAAAAGGCTCAGGGGTCACTCCAGGTAAACTGGGCTGATTGGGCTGCATGAAATAACCACACAAGAGACACAAATACCTTTTTCTTTGGGGTCGCTGTGACGGCTCCTTTGAACTTAAGGGTCTGCAGAAAGAGAGAGACAGCGAGAGCACGGCGCTGACCCCTTTTATTGAGAAGCTATTCAAATGAGGCAAGGGGTCAGGTTTCAGGGGGCTGAGACTATCTTCATGATGTCCACTGTCAGCAGGTTGACTGACATCTAGGAAGGCCACACCCAAGGGCAGAGTAAGAAGGAGACACACACAAGGCACTTCCATGGAAGATTCTATCCTAAACAGGGCAAGGGGTTATATTACAAAGGAACAGGTGAGCGTAGCTTCACCCATGGGGCTGTAGCAAGACACACCCATGCACGAGACACTGACCCTGGAACCCAAGAAGGGTGGGGAAAGCTCTGCCACATTTCTGTGACTTAGCGCCTCAGCACCCAGCCAGGGAGTGTGACTCAGTCATGTGTAAGGTTGGTTTCCTACAGTAGTAGAAGTGGGGGAGGCCCTGAACCTCATGGTCAGCTAGCTGGTGAAGCAGGCAGAGGAGCCATAGGTGACAGTTCTAGGCCAACCGTTCCAGCCTATTTGGCTGTAATGAACAGAGCCCTCTGCTGTTAGGGGTAGAGGCTCACGATGAACCCAGCCCCCTCAGGCTCCCTCTGCCAGACACTGTGATCCCAGGGTGATCTCTGGCCCACGTCCCGCAAGATACTTTGCCAGGCCTTGAGCTGGCATTGAGCTTTCCCTGTGCAAAGAGCTCAGTGCAGGTTTGGATATTGATGTGAAAAGTGTAGCAGAAATGAGGAATGAGCAGCTGGAAAGAGCCAGAGCTGGAGAGCAGGTGAGGAAGCCCCTGGTCTCCCACAGCTCCAGGCCCTGTGATGGGGGCTCCTTCCTACCTTGAAAACGGAGCAGCACACAGGCAGCTGCCACAGCATGCCCAGAGCAAGGGTCTTTGCCACAAAGTGGATTGGAAGCAGATCCGAGAGCATGTTGTGTATGAGGAACTCTGAGTGTTGCACCCAGATTTTGGCCAG